AGCGCCCGCACCCGCAGCTCCGGCGTCCGCATCGGCGCCAACGCCTCCCCACCCACCGGCCGCTTCGTCCTCGTCGAGCCCAAGCCGGAGCCCGGCCTCCCCGCGGAGTACGAGGAGATAGCCCGGCGCGGCTTCTCCGACGAGAACACCCTGCGGTGGGCGCGGGACGACTACCTCCGCGACGAGATGGTCCGGCAGCGCCGGGCCCTGGAGAAGATCGCCGCCCGCAAGCGTGGGCGCGAGGACGAGCACGGCGTTGTGGTCCTCGACAGCAACGACGACGTCGACGACGCCCCCGGACCGTCCAACCCGCCGCGCCAACCGGGGGAGGGATGCAGCAGGGACGGCGGAGGCGTAGGCGGGGGCGGCGGCGACGACGACGACGACAGTGGTGACTACACGTGGTTCTATAGCCTCCTCGGCATGTAGAACCGCGTGGGCGGGCGGCGAGGCGGGCGGCGAGGGAGACGGCGGGGGTAGCCCGCGGTAGTTTTTTCCTTTTTTGTAAAATATGTTTAAGTTTGAACGAACTTGCCGATGTTTGAGTTAAATTTGAGTTGTTTTTGCGCCGTATTTGACTTTTTGACTAACCATGGGCGCCGCGACTGGGGGGCATCACGCCCCCAATGCGCGGTTTAGCGCCGGTGCGCCCCCAGGGGGCGATTTTTGCCCCTCCTGGGGGGCCAACGGCTGGAGATGCCCTCACTCTCGCATGGCTGCGGCCAGCGGCGCGCCAGTGCCTGACTTTGAACTTGGCAACATCTGTGGTGGAGCGCGTGGCAGCCTTGTTGTCTTGTCCATTACCACTGGCGAGCGGTGACATCCTGAAGACCTGAACGTCAGAACTGACTTAATCCATCGAAGCATCAGACTCGAGTTTTTTTTTTGACCCGGAACAATTCATTCCATTACTAAACTGGCTCAGCAATGTCGTTGGCGACCAGAACAGAAACAAAGTCTGGGGCATACTCGATCCACGACAGATCAGCAGCTCCCGATCTGAAGCCAAAAGCAGCTAACTCATGTGCTACCTTATTACAATTTCGGTTACAGAAACTGAAACTAAATGATTCAAAGTTCGTATGGCAGATACTTCGCGTCTCCCGTAGGAGGACACCGATCAGCGCTCGTTCATATTCACCAGAATTGAGTGCATGGACAAGCACTTGGGAATCAGACTCAAGAATCACCCTGTGGATGCCCAGTTCCGCACTTGCTTCAGTAGTTAGCACACATGCCAAAGCTTCTGCATGTAGAGGCCCTGTAAGATGCTCAAGTGTGCCGGCCTTTGCTGCCAGAAATTCACCTTGGTCAGTACGAGCAACACACCCCCATGCTCCTCTCCCTGTGTCCGCATGATAGGATGCATCAAAATTGACTTTAACGACATCAGGTGGGGGTCGCTTCCACGTAACCTTGTCCTGGGGAGGCACTTGTACAGGCTTCATAACACTTTTACTGAATTCATGAAGATACTGTCGGATAGTATAGCAGATATTGTCAGTGCACCTCATCGTCTCTCCTGCATTTACCTTGTTTCTCACTGACCACCATTCCCACAACAGGATAAGGGAAGTATCTCGCTTACTATTATCCAAGCTCCATATGTGATCAAACACCTTTCCTGGCCCAGTGCACTCCAACAGAGCACTTCTTGTATCCTCTAGCTCCAATCCTCTCCAAACTTGCTTGACAGCTTTGCATTTTATGAACAGATGACCACCATCCTCATCCAGCCGGCCACACAGTGGGCATCTTGTATCCAAGTCCACCCTTTTTCGTTTAATATTCATACGGAGGGGCAAGCTATTATGCGCAAACCTCCACAAAAAAATACGCACCTTCCCTGGCATCTCCAGGTTCCACAATCTTTGCCATTTATCCTCTCCCCTTCCCTGACTCAATGATGGGCCTGCATCATTGCCATTTCTTGCATCTCTTATCCGGATACCGACATGATACGCCCCTTTTACAGAGAATTTTCCTTTGGGGTCATAGTGCCATGCTACAAAATCGTCCATATCCGGTCGGACCGAGATAGCGAGGATATGCGATACATCATCTTCATTGAAAAGGTCCCTTACTAACTGCTCGTCCCAGGTTTCCCTAACCGGGTCCATTGGTTCAGAAACATGTGTGATAACTGTGTTCCCTCTTACTGATGTTGGCTTTCTAGTATCTCCTCGAGGAATCCACGGATCCTCCCACACTTTGATGTTATCACCCGACCCCACCCGCCAAATAATTCCTTCCTTGAGCAGATTAACCCCCTTCAGTATGCTTCTCCAGGTATAAGAAATACCCTCTCTTTCTGTCGCCTCAAGAAGAGAACAGTTTGGGTAGTAGCGAGCCTTCAGTACTTGCGCACATAGTGTATCCGGAGCCTCGAGTAATCGCCACCCCTGCCTAGACAACATGGCCAGATTAAAAATATGCAGATCTCTGAACCCAAGTCCTCCATCCTTCTTCGATTTTGTCATTCGTTCCCAGCTTATCCAATGACATCGGCTTTTATCTTGTTGGCTCCACCAGTACCGGGCAATAAGTGCGCCGATCTCTTCGCAAAGTTGCTTTGTGAGATCAAAACACGACATTGCGTACGTGGGTATCGCCTGAGCTACAGCCTTGATCAAGACCTCTTTCCCCGCCTTCGATAGCAGCTTTTCCTTCCACCCTTGAATCCTTTGCCAAATCTTCTGTTTCAAATATTCAAATTCCTTACTCCTGGATGCTCCAATGTGAACTGGCAGTCCCAGATATCGCTGATTAAAGGACTCTACTGCTATTCCAAGGCCAGCCAGGACAGCCCCCCATGTGTTTACACTGGTTCCTTTACTGAACATGGCATTAGACTTCTCCTTATTAATCATTTGGCCGGATTGATCCTCATAAAGAGCTAAAATTTGCTGCAGTTTGGCTGCCCCCTCCACTGTTGCCTTCATAACAATTAGCGAATCGTCCGCAAAAAAAGGTGGTTTATCTTTGGAGCTCCACGACATATCTGAACCCCCTGGATAGAGCCCTCCTGCTCCGCTTGGTACAACATAGCAGAGAAAGCCTCCGCACACATTATAAAGAGGTACGGTGATAACGGATCCCCTTGCCGGAGTCCTCTGCCTGGGGTGATCACTTCTGACAAACTCCTATTAATCTTTACCCTGTATGAAACTGATCTAACGCACTTCATAATCAGGTGCACCCACTGTTCAGCGAAACCCATTTTGATCATGACCCGTTCTAGAAAGCCCCACTCAACGCGGTCGTACGCTTTGCTCATATCAAGCTTCACCGCCACCAGTCCCTTGCGCCCTCCCTTCCGTTTATGCATCAGGTGAGTGATTTCATATGCCAGGAGCACGTTATTGGTGATCATTCGACCGGGGACAAATGCTGACTGTGTTGGCGAGATGATTTCAGGCAGGATTTCCTTGAGCCAATTTGCAAGTACCTTTGAGATCAACTTGTATAAAACATTACAAAGGCTTATAGGCCTAAACTCAGTGACCTTCTCTGGGTTTTTGACCTTGGGTATGAGCACAATAGTAGTTTCGTTCCATCCACTCGAGTTTTTTTTAGAACTAGCTCGTGGTAATTTTCTTTTTAGAACCAACTCAAGATAACTCTTTTTGAGAGAGAAACATCCCAGCTTTATGAATGTATGATAGAAGAGCTTTTATGTCCCAGGGTTCTTTATTTTTTGCGGGTGATGTCCCAGGGTTTCAAAGGCCAAACATAACAGTCTGAATCTAATTCTAATGAATTTTTAGGAACTTCCTCTGTTTCATAATAATAATAATTATTATGAAAACGGAGGGAGTATATATATTGTGAGAATCTTAAGGTAACTAGTGTACTGACTAGTTTTCTTTAGGGGTGTGTACTAACTTTTTTTTGAGGGGTTGAGACAAGGGTGTGTAGTGTCAGGGGCGGAGCTGGCCCCCGGCACCCAGGGCCCAGGCTTGGGCGCAGGACCTTTTTAAGTCTCACCTATACAGCCAGCCCAGCCCAGGCCCAGCACGAGCTCCACGACCCAACGCACACCGCCCGCCGCCGTCGCCGTCATCCCGTTCCCGGCCTTTCCCCGCTCCGGTCGCCGTGCCTCGTGCAGCCTGGCCGTGCTGCACT